GTGTCCCAGACCCTGAGGCCACACATCAGATAACCTCTCTCTCTTGCATTCATTACCTGGTCCCTGGGAGCTCTGGTAGCATAGTGCCTAAGGCACTTGACTGCTAACCAGAAGGCTCGCAGTTAAAACCCAATAGTCACTCCTTGGAAGGAAGATGGGGCAATCTACTTCCTTAGTGATATTGCCTTGGAAACCCAAGGAGGGGTCACTATGAGTCAGGTCTGACTCGAAGGCACATTAACAACAACAGTGGGCAACTAGCGAGGTTACTTCCACTAGACTAAATGAGTCCCCATGCTGAGAACCTTTTAAACTTTCAGCTGGGCTGTCTGACCTATTTTTGTTATTGCTTTGTTGTTTTTGTTATTGTGGATGATTTATGACTTGGGATACCTCCTGTGTTACAGAGTAGAACTGATCCATAGGGTTTTCTTGGCTGTAATCTTCACGGAAGCAGATCACCAGGTCTGTTTCTTTCACGGCACTGCTGGCTGGCTTTGAGCTGCCCACTTTTTGGTTACTAGCTGAGTGCAACTGTTTGCACCACCCAGGGACCAATTTTTTTCTTTTTTTAGGAGCAAAGACAACCTTTTCATAATTCCAACTGTAGGGAAGGCTTGTCTAGCTAAGGCTTTCTATTCAACAAGTATTAGAAAATATGCTACAAGAAACTTTCAGAGAAGACATAGATAAAGTGGAAAGAGAATGTATCACAGTCTAAGTGGGCTGAAGTGGTTTTGAGCATTTCCCACAGTTGCAGAGAGAAACACATGGCTGATATTAAACTATACTGCTGAATGGGGGCATAAACATGTCAACCTTTACTTCTCCTCCTACACACACACTCCACAGGTAGTAGGTTTGATATATGGGAACAAGGATGTCAAAACTTCTCAGGCATGGAACAGCCAAAGAATGGTCTAAAAATACAAGGGGAGGAGAACCTTACTTTGATAGAGATCCTTTAAGAAGGGAGCCCTGAGCTAATAATGCACATGATGCCCTCTATCCTAAGTGCAAGAAAGCACTCTGGCCTTTAATTAAGTGGCCCCACACCTATGTAAGGTAACGATTTGGCAACACATCAATTTTCTTTGGCAAAAGAAGCATAAGCAGGCCAGAGCTGTGATGGAATCTCCCAAGATAGTAGGTTTGTAGGGTTTTGTTTTGTTTTTTTCAAATCTTCCTACATCACATGCCCTACAAAATTCCTCCCAATGAATTTTTACAGCAAGCATGTATGTCATGTTGGATGTTCCCATCAGAGGCCCATCTGGTGAACTCCAGATGGTTTTGTTACTGGTGTCAAACTTAAATTATGAATTGGAGCCTTGGAGTATCAGCTCAGATTCAAAATCCATGTGTATTGAGGAGGGATATAAGGATGAATGTCTTTAGGATATAGCTTAAAGGACAAGTCCACTTACTAACTGTGTGATCTTGACAAGTCACTTAACACCATTCTACAGGTATGAGTTTCTTCATCTAAAAAAAGTGAATTAATAGAAGCTAACCCATTCAAAGTAGCTGGCACACAGCACCCAATAACCATCCCACACAGTCTCCATTCTCTTCATGGAATGGTAGAAGCGACAGATCCTTAGAAGGTGAGCAGTCCAACTCCCCCAAGGAAAGTCCAATCTCCAGAGGCAGCCTCTCAGGCAAACAGTGGCAGCATCAGGCACCTTTTAAGAACCAAGCTTTGGTAACTATACCTAGCGCTGGCTTTCTCAAATTAAGACAGTCCATGAGAATTCAGAAAGCAGGTTGGGACAGTGACAAGGCAAACCCACTGCTGTCCAGTCAATTCCAGCCCATGGTGACCCCACATACTACAGAGTAGAACTGTTCCGTAGGGTTTTCTTGGCTGTAATCTTTGTAGAAGCACATTACTAAGGCTCTTTTCGGTGGTACCACTGGGTGGGTTCAAACAGCCTACATTTAGGTTAAGAGTTGAGCACAGACGATCTGTGCCACTTAGGAACTTTAATGATAAGTCAGTCCCTGGTGGCGTAGTGCCTAAGGCCTTTGACTGCTAACCAGAAGGCTGGTGGTTCAAACCCACCAGCCACTCCTCAGAAGGAAGGTTGTGCAATCCACTTCCGTAGTGATACCACCTCAGAAACCCAAGGAGGGGTCACTATGAGTTGGATCTGACTCGATGGCAGTGATTTTGGTTTTTTGGTTGAGGAGCCTCAAACTGCAGGCCAAAGGGCGAGGTACACAGCCCTGTTTTGTTTTCATTTTGCCACAGGCCTAATCATTTAAAACTATTTCTCATCCTTCCCAACTAATGTATCTTGGTTGCTTGCTAGACTTCTATATATATATATATGAGTTTAGTTTATCCAACCTAAATGGTTGAGATTCCTATCCATAGTTTAGATTTTTTATCAGCCAAAGTTGATGTATGCATATTGCAGCTTTATATATTTTCTTACACACACACACACACACACACACACAGAGACCTCCTATGCTTGCTTCTTAATCTGTGAGGGGATAGTTGAGTCTGAAATATCAGTTCACAAAAGGATGGCTTTGCCCAACTGCTTTATTATAAAATAGGGACTTGGAAAAAGCACAAGAATACCTCTATACAGAAATATGGGGAGTATCCTGATTCCCAAGAGGACCACTCTCCAAGAACGACTCCACTAGCACGTGACATGTTCAGAAAGGACTTATGCTTCAGTAGAAGTTCAACAGCAGCCAGCAACTCTAGATCCTGAAAGTGAAACCTCACACTTTATATAGCATGTTATAAACTGTTTCCCTTTCCTTCTCTCTGGAGCAGTCACAATACTCTTTTGACATCCACCCCCCCCTTTTTTTAAATTACAAAATACTGACATTAAATGCTAATTTGTGACTCATAGTTCACTTAAAGTCCTATTTTTTATTAGCCTCACATTGAAGGGTTTGGGAGAAATTTAAGATGGTTCCCTGGAAATCCTGAAGCATTCTTCCTTCCCCCAATACATCTCAAATGTCAAATAGCCACTCTGTATCAACCAAATCTTCTCCAAGCACTAGGTTGCCTATTTCTTCATGACTCCAAGAAAATTACAGAAATTTTATCTAAATTTTATAAGAACAACTATAAAGCTAGATGAATTACTAAGCATCTTGAGATACGTTTAAAGCAAAGTAATTAATAACTATGGTTGACTGAAACTCAACAGTCCAAACACTGATGCAAACCTCTATTTGAACATGCTATTTGAACTTGATTTGTGGCAGGGCAGGACACCAAATTAAATCACTCATTATTATAGACTTAAATCCCAAACTTTGATTCTCTGGTGGGTTATTTTTAATTTGAAAATGAGCTCTTGTCCTGTAAAGTAAGCAATACCAGGGAGAAATGCAAAGCCTACAAGTAACTTGTACATAAAAACTCAGAAGTATTAATGACATTATTTCTAAGTTCAGAAACTGCTAACCAGAAGGTTGGTGGTTCAAACCCACCAGTCACTACTCGGAAGGAGGATGGGGCAACCTACTTCTGCAGTGTTACTGCCTCGGAAACCCAAGGAAGGGTCACTATGAGTTGGGTCCGACTGGACGGCACATAAAAACAACAAATAGCTCTGGGTTATAATGAAATAATATAGAGAAGCATATCTGTGAAATAGCTTTTGAATATTTTCAAATGATAGATGTTGGCAAATGGATGTTATAATATGACCACACAATGCAATACCATGTAGCCATTTAAAATTGGGTTTCCGAGGCAGTATCACTATGGAAGTAGGAATGCCCAACCTTCCTTCCGAAAATAGAATAAGGTACAGCTAAATACCAAAGGTAAGAAAATGTGATAATATAAATTAAAAATAGCAAACTGCATAAATAATTTTTGGAGAAAAACTGTATCTATGTGTACATGTATATATATACCTTCCTGACACACACTGACATATATGATTCTATATTTGGCTGCAAGAGTACATTTATAAATTGTTACAAGAAGTCTATAAATATACACACTCAACCTAACAGTGGTGAGAAAAGAATCAAAACGCCTTGGTCCTGCACTTGGCTTTTCTTGTCTTTGTGGTTTGCATTTTTTGCAAGAGGGCGGTTAACTTTTTTAATTTTAAAAAATAAAGTGATAGCCCTTTAAAGAACGGTAACAACAGCTCCTGCGTGGCCCTTGAATTCCTGAAAGACCTTTGTTTTCACCTCACTCAGAACAAGAAAAGGAGCTCTGGTAGCATAGTGCCTAAGGCACCTGACTTGTAACCCGAAGACTGGCAGTTCAAACCCACCAGGCACTCCTCGGAAGAAAGGTTGGGCAATCTACTATCTGTAGTGATACCGCCTCCTCGGAAACCCAAGGAGGGGTCGCTATGAGTCGGGTTCGACTCCACTGCACATAAAAACAAGAGAACAAGAAACGCAGCCACGACTCCCTAGTCCTTTCTAGTCCTTGGAAGATCAAGAGAGGGAAAGGCGTGGCTTGCAGGGTTTTCTTGTAGCTGGAGGAAAACAGGCTGTCTACACTCCCCAGAGCTCCCACGTGTCAGGGGGTGCGCAGACTGCTGGCGCAAGTTACAGGAGTCCAGTACTAATTCTAACAGGCTGGGCTGGTAATGAGTGCATTTAGCTCACTCAATTCCTCGCTTCTCACCTTCCCACAGACAGGCAGCTTCTCGGTCCAAGTTTTATTTGTGCGGCCCAGCCTTACAGAGCACACCCGAGTGTATGTCTGCAAAGGATGCAGGCACCAGGCTGGGAGAACAACAACCTGTTCTAATAAGAAGTGAATGCCAGTTAATCCAGAGTCGATGATCAGGCAAATGTCAGTCCAGAGCTACTCACAAAGTGGACAGTCAGGTGGGCTTGGAAGGGGAGATGGCCAGACAAAGAGTTAAGATTTTTGTTTCTAAATAGGAGAGATGTTACTCGCCTCTCAGGGCCTGTAAATGGGCTGCAGGAAACCTGAGTTCTGGAAGGTCGCCGAGCAGAGATGCGCGGGTGGTACGTGGGCTTACCTTGCAGGGAAACAGGACAGCCGAAGCCACCTTCTCCATAGCCAGGTTCCTGATGCTGGGCGTCAGGGCGCCCCTGCACGTCGGGCAGCAGCTCAACTTCTGGCGGCATTGGTTACATACCAGGTGCCCGGCCTGGCACTGAAGAATGGGAGGCAGGACATAGTCAAAGCAGACCGGGCACTCGAAGAGCGAGGTCAGCTCGTGGTGCTGCGGGGACACCGGGCCGGCCCCGCCACCGCCGCTGCTGGGGCCGGAGATCACCGCCGCCGCGGTTGGAACCGCGGACGAGCCGGGGCCCGCAGCTGAGATGGTGGCGGCGGCCGGGGGCGCAGCCGGGGACGGAGCGTGCTGGGGCTGCGGCGGCGGCTGTTTGCTGCAGGGTTTGTTAGCGCTGGGGCCGGTGGAGGACGGGCGGCTCATTGCGTTCCGAGGCAACCATGGAACTGCGGGCGCCTACCTGCCGCGGGGCCGCCGGGGTCAAGGCGGAGCGCGCCCCGCGGGCTGTGGGCTCCGGGGCAACGCCACGGCGCCCAGTCGCGGACCGGGCAGCGTTAACCGCCTCTGCCCGGCAGGCGGGGGCTGGAGCGCACTGGCGCTCTCAGAGCTAGGGCCCTCGGCGTTCCAGAGACCCGTCAGCGCCCTCCGATCCCCCGCGGCGCCCCCTTCCCGGCGGCGTCTGGGGCCCTGACCCAAGCGGTGTGCTGAGCCCCAGCCCACCAGCTTCTGGAGCGGCAGCTGACGCAAGCCCCGGGGGCGCGCGCGGACGTGACGCTTGGACACGTGTGCGGCCGCCCAAGCGCGCGGGGACTGGCAGAGCCACCCTGCGCCTGGGCGTGGGCTCCGCCTGGCTCCAGCTGGCAGCGCAGGGGGCCGCCTAACGCGGGTGCTTCGGGTTAGAGTCGAGGGCCAGGCCCGCATCAGTGAGCATGCCCAGGTCGTCGCGCCGCCTGCTGTCGTCTCCCAGGGTCGGCTTCTCCTGGTTGGGGAGTAGTGGGTGCCCCTCCGGGAAGGCGTCGCCGAGGTCCTCTAGCCACACCCTGGGGAGCCACGCTGACGCGTCCCCTGGCTTAAACCAGAAGGGCAATTTAGGGCTGGGCGAGGGTGTGGATGGTAGGCGGGGCGGGACGCTGGCGGGCAGAGGCGGGGCGTGGGCGCCCCTGTTCAGCTCGGCGGGGAAAAAGCTGGAGGTTTCCAGGAGTTGAGTCATCAACGCGCGGGCGAGGGCGTGGGTTGTGGCCAGCCGAGCTGTAGGTCTGGAACCCGGGATCAAGAGAAAGAACTTTGGGTGGGAGCAAGACTTAGTACTATTAAGGGTACAAGTCCTCTTGGTACCCCCACCCCCCGCCATGCCCTCCAGGGTGCAGAGAAGGTAAACTCCCTTTACGCCTTCACAAGCAGCCCTGGCAAGAATTTCGTTGAATTTAGTGCCTCTGACCTGCAAAAGGAGTTCTGGTGACGCAGTGGTTAAACCGTTGCGCTGCTAACCTAAAGGTCGGGGATACCAACCCAAAGCCCGCTCCACAGGAGAAAGATGGGCAGTCTGCTGCTGTAAAGATTTACAGCCTTGAAAACCCTGTGGGGGAGTTCCCTGCCCTATAGGGTCACTATGAGTCGTAATAGACTTATTGGCAGTGGGTTTGTTTTTTGGTTTTGGACTGTGTGGATCATAACAAATTATGTATAATACTGCAAAGAATGGAAATTCCAGAACACTTCATTGTGCTTGTGGGGAACCTGTACGTAGACCAAGAGGCAGTCATTGGAACAGAATAAGTGAATACTGCATGGTTTAAAATCAGGAAGGCAGTGCGTCAGGGTTGTATCCTTCCACCATACTTATTCAATCTGTATGCTGAGCAAATAATCTGAGAAGCTGAACTATATGAAGAAGAATGTGGCATCAGGATTGGAGGAAAACTTCATTAACCACCTGTGATGTGAAGATGACACAGATTTGATTGCTGAAAGTGAAGACTTGAAGCACTTACTGATGAAGATCAAAGATGATAGCCTTCAGTATGGATTAACTGTACTTAACATAAAGAAAACAAAAATCCTTACAACTGGACCAATAAGCAACATCACAATAAATGGAGAAAAGATTGAGTTGTCAAGAATTTCATATTGCTTTCATCCACAATTAGTGCCCATGGAATCAGCAGTCAGGAAATCAGATGATGTATTGCACTAGGCAAATCTGCAGAAAATGTCTTTAAAGTGTAAAAGAGAAAAGATATCACTTTGAAGACTAAACTTTGCCTGCCCCAAGCCATAGTATTTTCAATAACCTCATGTTGTTGTTGTAGTTGTTAAGTGTGTCGAGTCGTTTCTGACTCATAGCGACCCCATGCACAGCAGAATGAAACATTGCCTGATCCCGCGCCAGCTCCATGATCCTTGCTATACTTCAGCCCATTGTTGCAGCCACGGTGTCAATCCATCTCGTCGAAGGCCTTCCCCCCTTTTGTCAACCCTCCACCTTACCAAGCATGACATCCTTCTCCAAGGAGTGGTCCCCTCTGACAACATGACCAAAGTAGGTGAGACAAAGTCTGGCCATCCTTGCTTCCAAGGAGCATCTCAGCCGCACTTCCTCCAGGACAGATCTGTTAGTTCTTTTGGCAGTCCATGGTACCTTCAGCATTCTTCGCCAGTACAACTCAAAAGCATCAACTCTTCTTTGGTCTTCCTTATTCATTGACCATCTCTCACATGCATACGAGGCGATTGGAAATATCATGGCCTGTGTCAGGCGTACCTTAGTCCTCAAGGAGACATCCTTGCTTCTCAGCACTTGAAAGAGTTCCTTCGCAGCCGACCTGCCCAGTGCTTCACGTCATCTAATGTCCTGACTGCTGCTTCCATTGGCGTCAACTGTAGAACCAAGCAATGTGAATTCTTTCACAACCTCAATCTTTTCTCCATTTATCGTGATACTACTTATTGGTCCAGTTGTGAGGATTTTTGTCTTCTTTATATTGAGCTGTAATCCATACCGCAGACTGTGTTCCTCAATCTTCATCAGTAAGTGCCTAAAGTCATCCTCACTTTCAGCAAGCAAAGTTGTATCGTCTGTGTATCTCAGGCTGTTAATGATTCTTCCTCCAATCCTGATGCCACGTTTTTCTTCGTATAGTCCAGCTTCTCAGATTATTTGCTCAGCATATAGATTGAATAACTATGGGTAAAGGATACAACCCTGACGCACTCCCTTCTTGATTTTAAACCACACAGTGTCCCCTTGTTCCATTCGAATGACAGCCCCTGGTCAAGGTACAGGTTCCTCATTAGTACAATAAAATGTTTGGGAATTCCCATTCTTCTCAATGTTATCCATAATTTGTCATGATCCACACAATCAAATGCCTTTGCATAGTCAATAAAGCATAAGTAAACATCTTTCTGGTATACTTTGCCTTGCATATGAGCAATTGATGGTCTGTTGCACAATCAGTTCCTGGCCTGGTTTTGGCCGAAGATAC